TTGACGCTATGCGACAACGATGGGTTCCCGGCGCGAATGGGAGCGATACAGAATGCGTGCCGTTCGGTCGTCGCCGCGATCGTCCGTGCACACCGGAAATCGAAAAGCTGCTGCCCCCCCCCCCCCGCGAATCGATACGTCTCGTTGTTCGGTCCCTATGAAAGGGAAACACACTGCGGGCTAAGACTCGCCGCAGTCTCCTTCGCCAGCCAATTTCGACGTTCTGTAATCGAATGTAGACGAGAATCACGTGTACCGGGTGTATAAAGGGGCGGACGTTCTCTATGTTGAATTTCACGGACGGAATCGGAGCCGTGTTTGACCTATTTCCCTGCCAGGACGAATATCCACTCGTCGATTACCTTCGCCTATCGCCGTTCCATTATTATTTATTCATCCGGGCGGTTGTACAATTCGCGTTCGAAATGTCGATAATGCTCGCTTCGGCCCCGAAACAATTATCTTCGTGTCCGCCTGTCGATTTTCTCTCGTCTCCTTTGTTCCTGAAACGCCGCACCGTTTATATACAGGGTGTTTCGAAATTATTGTACGAGCGAGAAGTGATAGGTTCCTGAGGTCATTTCGAGCAAGATTTTCCTTTACAAGAATTTTCTACGAGGCACCGTTAACGAGTTATCAACGAAAAAGCAGCGACCAATGAGAGGCGAGCTCGGCTGGCGCGAGGCTTCGCGCGCTCGTTAGCTCGGCCGCCGCGCGCCTACTCGAGCTCGCCGCTCTTTAGTCAGCGTTTTTCGTTAATAACTCGTTAACGGTGCCTCGGAGAACATTTTTGTAAAGGAAAAAGTTGCTTCGAATGACCTCAGGAATCCCTTATTTCTCGCTCATACAATAATTTTGGGATACCCTGTATTTTTCAATTTACGATTATCCATATCGTAAAGACACAATTATGAGTTTATTCAATTATTATTATTATTATGAAATATTCAATTATTATTCAATTTATTCAATTTACTTACGGCAAATGTTACAATATTATAACACTTGTTAAAAAGTCAGAATAAATGTCTTATCGTTACGTTCATAAACTAATATAAAACAGCTGTTATTTTTCTTTTTTGCTCCGTAATTCTAGTGTTAAACGGCAGTCACCGTACGGTCCCATTCATGGTTGCTCTCCGTTACGCGGCGCAGGAAGCACGGCCATCGAAAATTACGCGTGAAATATCTATGCGGTGTATGGAAATCGCGCGGGACGTATGCTCGTCCGATAAACCGTGACTATTACCGAGGCCGTCTTATGCAAATGGTCATGGGAAACCGGAAACGGCGCGGCGGGGTCGACGAACCGCGCCGCGCCGCGCTGCGCCGGCATTTCACCGAAACTAGAGTCGGTGCTCTAGGCTGTAGGCTCTAGGCTGTAGGGCTCTAGCTTCCGCCGCCGTGCCGCCGAACCGCCGAGCCGCCGAGCCTCCGAGCCGCCGTGCCGCCGAGCCGCCGAGCCGCCGAGCCGGTCGGCCAATGAGAATCGATCGGCACCGCGTGGACGGGGATCGCGTGTCCCGGCCATCATCGGAGGAAACTTTCGTTTTAATTGGCCGTCGAAAACGGAGTGTAACGGCTCCCATTAATCGACCTCCTTGCGCCGCTAACAATTCACTTAATTGAATAGACCGGTATCAGAGAACAGCACGAGATCTCGCCGCGTGACTTTTTTCGCCGGCCGCGACGCGAACCCGATATCCCAAGCCCGTTCGCGGATCGATCGGAGGAATCGCGGCCGAAAACACGCGGGACCGTCGATGATTCGCCGGGGTCGGATTTCGTAATAATGAATGTCCGCGTGTCCGGCGAATCGGAAAACAAACAAGTTTTCCGCGTTTTTCGAAGCGTAAGTGGGCCAACATTTTTGGGAATTTTGTCGCGGGTGAATCTGGCGACGCGGAGTTCAACGACCTTTTTTCGGATGCACTGCGGCATGATTCGGCGTTGCATAGAGAATTTTGGTTGCATTCTGCGTTCGGCCGTCTTCGTTCCAGGCAACGCCTTCATTTTCCTTAATTTTCCTTTTATTTTCCTTTATCTCGCTTCATTTCCCTCCATTTTACTGTACTTTATTTCGTTTTATTCCATTTTCCTTCATTTTCTTTCATGTCCCTTTATTTCGCTTCATTTCCCTCCATTTTACTTTACTTTATTTCGTTTTATTCCATTTTCCTTCATTTTTGCTTCATTTCCCTTAATTTTCTTTTATTTCCCTTTATCTCGCTTCATTTCCCTCCATTTTACTTTACTTTATTTCGTTTTATTCCATTTTCCTTCATTTTTGCTTCATTTCCCTTAATTTTATTTCGTTTTATTTCATTTTCCTTCATTCCACCATCGAACGGATCACGTCGCAACAATCTGTTCGCAATACCGAATCCTGCACGAACCAGTTGCAAAAGGTTTCACGATCCTATTTCCTCCGGTTTTTCTGTAATAAATTCCTAAGTGCGATCGGTTGTTCGAGGATTATCGGCGGCAGAGCGTCGTCGGCCGAGAAAGCGGTAGCGTTTGTTGCAAACGGTCCAATTGTATCGATAAAATGGTTATTACTTTCCCCGCGCGAGCCGGGATTGGGTCGCGGCGAGCTTTCACTGTCGCGTGAAGAAACATAATCCGAGCTTTTACGCTCGGAGGGCTCTCTTCTCGCCGCGCCGCGCCGCACCACCCCTCCCCGCGCGTCCCGCGCAGCGCCACGCCGCACCGCGCCTCCCTGCCCCCTCGCCGCGCTTCCCCGCGTCACGCCACGCCACGCCGGGCGCGCTCCAATTTCCACGGCACGTTTGCACCATAATTGGTCCGAGTTAAACCGGTCGTGTAATTATTAGCGGAACACCTAGCCGGTCCAGAGTGCCTCGGACAGCAGCGCGTGCCTGCTGGATAGTTGCGACGAACCGAAAACTTCTGTAGCGAACAAACATTTCCAAAGGTCTTTTCCTAGCTTCGTGAGTTTTCAACTTTTCTGCCGCAGCTCGCCGTCCGTCGCGTCCGTACGTCGAGTCGCAGAATTTTTGGTCGTTCCGGGTCAAGGATTTCGGTGAAAATCGAGCGTTAACGTGGAGCATGGATAATTAGGGGCAGTTTAAGTCATCGTTCCGCTGGTTTTTCATTTGTTTTAAGAATGTACGAACCATTAATAAATAACCTTAACAATCGAAATAAATAAAATTGAAGAGAAATAAATAAAATTGAAAGGAAGTAAATAAAATTGAAAGGAAATAAATAAAATTGAAGGGAAATAAATAAAATTGAGGAGAAATAAATAAAATTGAAGGGAAATAAATAAAACTGAAGACAAACAAATAGAGTTGAAAATAAATAAATAGAACTAAAAAAAAAGATAAATAACTGAAAAGAAAAAAAAAGAAAATTGAAAAGAAATTGTTGCTTCGTGGATCTGTACCGAGGGAATTGAAAGTTTTGTAACCAAAAAAAGGCCATGATCGGCACGACGTAGAACGACCCTTAACCCTTTCCGATAGCAAGACATATTTCGCCCTCGTGTCGGCCCCCCGTTTTCGTGCGGATCGATCGCCGGGCCGGGTAGATCACCGCTGAGATTGCTTTTAGCCCAGATCGGCGAGAACATTCGAGCGAAATTGAGTCGTATTTAGAAACACCTGTGCACACGTGTATATTTCTACCAACAGTATAAGAAAAAGAGTACAGTTTCGGGAGGCAACGTGAGAAATGAAACGACACGCGACGATCCTCTTCCAGGATCTATAAATCTATAAATCGGCCGATCGTTTTTCCAAGACCGAGAATCGAACTCCTACGCGATAATTACGGCGAAGAAATAATATCGGTGCCATTTTTTAATTCGAATTTTTCAATCCAAAATTGTTTTTCTCGACTATACTATTTCCGTTTTATACGACTTGCTGAATCTTATACAGCAAGTATAAATAAATTATGTTTAACAATTCTTTTTTTTAAATGTAAACAAATTTAATAATGTTGAAATTATATTAAAACGCTACGTAGCAATTTTTTTAATTCTTTGCTCGACTGCGACTGTTTATAATGCGGGGAATAATATTTTAATAATAATAATAATAATAATAGTAATAATAAATAATAATAATAAATAATAATAATAATTTCATTCTCGTTTGAATAACAATATTCAAATTGCAAAAAATACGTACGTGTCGAAATTGCAAATAAATAAATGTCTTTTAATTATTGTATAAAAGTTATTTTATATTTCGTTGCTGACGCTGTAAATTGTTTATCGATTGTAAGTAATAGAGTGGAGAAGAATATTCAACGTTTATTTAAAAAGCGGCTGGTTCGACCGTTTCCGGTAGAAACGATAGATATGCAGAAAATGACAGCGGGTTTAGTGCGAATCAAATGGTACAGGACATGAAGGCTCGATGTTAACTCGGTTTCATGATTGCGCCCATAACATAGAACATTTCGACTAGCTCAAGCTTCTGCTATCACGCAGGCTCGAATCAAATTTGACAGACCGCATACATGCTGACGAAACTTCGGTAATGGACTTACATGGAACGCCGTTCGATCGATACCGAATCGCGCCGATTTTTTTTCTACACAGATATTGAGGGTATCACGTTACAGAGATCGCAAAAATGTAAATTAAAAGCGCTATCAAAGCCGTTGAGAGATCAACGAGAAAAGAAAAAGAAAGTGAAGAGAAGAGAAATGACGCATGGTCTATTCGAAAGTAATTATCTCTTTACATAAAATTCAATTATACAAGGTGTCCCGAAAGTGGCTCAAAAAAGGTTATCGAGAGCTTCCTGAGGTCATTTCAAGAAACATTTTCCTTTGCGAAAATGCGATCCGAGGCTCCGTTAACGAGTTATCAACGAAAAACGCTGGCCAATGATAGGCTAGCTTGAGTAGGCGCGCGGCGGTCGAGTCAACGAGCGCGCGAAGCCCAGTCCCGCTGATTGACGCGGCCGCCTCGCGCCAGCCGAGAGTACGTCAACTCATTGGTCAGCGTTTTTCGTTAATAATTCGTCAACGGTGCCTCGGATCTCGTTTACGCAAAGAAAAAAGTTTCTTGAAATAATCTGAGGAACCTCTCGGTAACCTTTTTTAAACAGCTTTTAGAACATCTTATATAATCGAATTTTATACTCGCTTTTTCACTTCCTTCTTTATTGATCTCTCAAGATCAAACGAGAATAGCACTTTAAATCGACATTTTTGTGAACTTTCGATCTGTCCAAAAAAAAGAATCGTCGCGATTTTGTCATCGCTTAAACAGCAATTCCTTGTTAGACAAAAAAGTGACTCGTTTAAAGTAAGCTAGCGCCGAAAGAGCAACACGTTATTTTAAAAAAAAAACCGCCGCGATCGCAGGCGATCTCGATCCTCGGGATCCTCAGGAGCTCGGCTCCTCGGCGATGGTGAGCTTCGAGGTGGACCGATCGACGTTGATCAGCACCACGTCGGTGTCCAAGTAGGTGATCAGTGCGGTGCACACCCGTCCCTCCTCCGTCACCACGAAGTAGGAGAACGGCGCCCATTTCTTCACGGCCATGCACATCGTGCAGATCTTCTCGCGGTCCGACTCGCCGATCTGCTGATTATGCTTGATGAACGCGCAGAACTGCAGCCTCGTGACGGCCATGCACGCAGAACGTAGCCGTGGCCCGATGGCACCCAGCACCCGGTAGAACTTCAATCCGCGGAACCGGCAGCCGACTATGTGAATCGTGTGCAGGTTACGGCATCTCTCCAGGATGCAGAGCAGGTTGTACGACCGCAGAAACAGATTCGACGTCTTGCCTGCCGAACGATATATTTGTCATTTATTATTATTATTTGTTATTTATTATTATTATTTATATTTATATATATTATTATTTTGTTATCCGGCAAGATATTGGTGCTCGAAGTATCGATCGGTTCGTCTAATTTTATTTTTCAGGGTGTCCCGAAATTATTGTATGCGTTCCTGAGGTCATTTCGAGCAACTTTTTCCTTTACGAAAATGTTCTCCGGGGCACCGTTAACGAGATATCGACGGAAAACCGCGAGAAAACGGAGCGCGCGAAGCCCATTCCCGCCGATTGGCGTGGCCGCCTCGCGCCAGCTCGCCTCTCATTGGTCAGCGTTTTTCGTTCATAACTCGTTAAATAAGGCGCCTCGAGTCAAAATTTTGTCAAAATTTTTTGTCACCTCAGGAACTCCTCATTTTCCGGAAATGCCATAATTTTGGGACATCCTGTATATACTATAACTGTTACATGTTAAAGTTGTTTATTAGTCGTTGTTTATATTAGGAGCCGGTGTAATTGTTCGAGGCGACGATACCAGAGGGTTCGAAAATTCGCACGGTATTGATTCTCTCGCGGCGTGTTCCCGCGTATGATTCACGGAACGCGATGCACCGTTTCACCTGGCAACCGTATTTGCCACGGGTTCGGGCTAATTAGCATCGAGATAACGGCGCCGGTGCTGCATTAGCTGCACTCTGCCCCCGGCAATAGGCGTGCGGTGCCTTCGGCTGCATTCGGCGCGGCGGTGCATTCTTCGAGAAAGGCGAGGAATATCGGCCCCATCGGTCATGCACGTGACACATTCTTCGCCCCTGTTTTCCCTCCGGCCTAATAAATCTATCCGGTTGGCTGGGGGGTCCGTTAGAGAGAACCGTGTCGCGACGCGGCGCGTCGCACGGTGGTCTGGCGAACCGGCGATCCGTGGCCAAAATTATTTCGGCGTTGCTTTCAAGATTCGAGGTTATGGTATAACAGGTCGTTGAATTCGTCTGGACGCCGGCTACAATGTTACCGAGTCAAAAATGTGTGTCAACATTTAGAATGATCGGAGTGACCGGCATTTTTTTGCAAAAAAAGCTTAATTCTGCCAGGTTTGATAGTCTACTTTGTAGAGAAGCGAATACTGACTAACTTTCGTTCGAAACATTTTTCTGTGAGATCGTCGGAAATTTCGGAAAAATCGTGTTTTGTCCACGAATTGGACGCGAGCGTCGTGCGCGCTCGCCGCTTCACTGCTGGCACAGGCGTCGAAAAACAGATCTCGAGCCTCAGTTAGGTCCTTTAAATTGTCATTATTAATGTCATTGATCGTAACGTTACATCTTATTAGCAGACCGCGGATCTTTAATAATTGTTTGAAACAAAAATTGATTAGCGTTTAATAATTCGACTATATAATTTATAGTATATAATTTAATAATATTATATATTATATATATATTATTTAATAATATCATATATTATATATATATTATTTAATAATATCATATATTATATACATAATATATAATTTATAGTATATAATTTAATAATATTTGACTTCGTTTAATAATTTCAATCGATCGAGAAACTAATTGAACAATAGCCTGAAAATTATTCTATAATTTTTCTCACCAATTTGTCCAATAAATATGCACAAAGATTCGCAGTCTAATTATCGCAGAGCCATCCGAATAAACAAATTATGTTCGATTTTAAATCTTTGAGAGGTTATGGACTCATTGGAGAAACGCAATCGTTCGAAATACGAGAGTTGTGAAATTGACCTTTTTTTGGTTATGTATTGCTGCCCCAGCAGACCCCTGTAGGGGACGGTTTGTCAAACTAACTGTCGGCCGAGCGGCGACAAATTCGCGAGCAACACGTTCGTGAACGCAGGGAAACCATCCGTCGCATTTGCATGTCTGCGCAATGACTAACGAAGTCCTGCCGCGAGAGAACACTGCCTGCGTTTGCATACATCTCCATACAATCCGGCAAGAGCATCGCTGTCCGCAGAAAGTTCCTCTGATTTTCCGAACGACGCTAGTTTGTCCCACGAGAACGTTGCTCGTTGTTCTCGAAAATCGGGGACGTCTCGCGTCGATTCGGAAGATAGATTCGTTGCAGCCGCGATTCTTAACCTCTTCGGTACGACGCGCCACTGGCTTTCGCGGATGTCAGCTTATTTATGACGCGCCACTAAAGTGGCTCGCTCTACTGACTCATTCGCGCGTCGTTCGAACTGAACGATCGTTTTCATTCGAGCCGTTTATTTTGAAAGGGGCATAAGTCACTTTGTTTTTAAGTCAATATATTTAAGGGTTTGCGTTTTAACACGTTTAAAAACATGGATGCTAACTTTCGAGAAGATTTACTTGTATTTGTTATCTCAGGATACTGATATTTTTCTCAGTATAAATAATTTCGTATAAACATTAAAGAATCACCACTTTTCATTACGGTAAAGTGACTTGTGCCACTTTCAAAATAAACGGCTCATTTGTCTCGCTTCACACCCCCTTTTGCCCTCACAGCGTTAATAATATACAGACAGAATATACAGGGTGTACCAGAAATGTCTCGCAATCCGGAAACGGCGGGTTCTTCGGATCATTTGAAGCAACTTATTCCTTTACGAAAATGTTCTCCGAGGCACCGTTAATGAGTTATCAACGAAAGAACAGTGCGCCAATAAGAATCGATTATGGCTGACGCGAGGCGGCCCGGCCAACCAGCGCGCGAAGCCCGGTTCCGCTCATTGACTCGGCTGCCTCGCGCCAGCCGCGCTCGCCGAGTCAACGAGCGCGCGAGGCCCAGTTGCGCTGATTGGCTCGGTCGCCTCGCGCCAGCCGAGCTCGCCTCTCATTGGTCACTGCTTTTTCGTTGATAACTCGTTAACGGTGCCTCGGAGAACATTTTTGTAAAGGAAAAAGTTGCTTCGAATGACCCGAGGAACCCGCCACTTTCGGATTGCGAGACATTTTTAGGACACCCTGTATAGTCTTCGTTTTTGATACGCCAGTCGAACAGTCTGAAAGCGCGGTCCGCGTTCCGCGGCAAAAGCCGGGACCTGGAGTCCCTGATGCGCCATTAGGGAACGCTAACTACAGCTGCGCTCTTTTTCTCGTTTGACACGTAGCCAAACCCCACAGTCCCGCAACCCCTCCCAACCCCCTCGCTGCTCTGTTATTCTATTTTCCGTCGGGATCAGTCTCTTTCATCATTTCTGCCGTTCCTGCGCGACTACGGGCACTGCGAATCCCGAACAGACCCAGAGAGAAGAGAGAGAGAGAGAGAGAGAGAGAGAAGAATTCCGCCGAGTTTTTTGAACCCGAGCCAAAGGGCCATCTCTCTCTCTTTTCATTTCGTTCCATCTACAGAGTGTCCCAAAGGGAAGCGAGGGATTCCTGAGGTTATTTGAAGCAACTTTGTCCTCAGCGAAAATTCAATCCGCGGCTTCGTTTACGAGTTATTAACGAAAAACGCTGACCAATGAGAGGCATGCTCGAGTGAGCGCGCGAAGCCCAGTACCGCTGATTGGCGCGGCCGCCGCGCGCCGCCGAGCTCGCGAAGCCCAGTTTCGCTGATTGGCGCGACTGCCGTGCGCCAGCTCGCCTCTCATTGGTCGCTGTCTATCGTTAGTAACTCGCGATTGAAGCTGCGGATCGCATTCGCGCAAAGGAAAAAGTTACTTCGACTGGCCTCGGGAATCTCGAAGCAACCTTGACATAATCTCGCTTCCCTATTTCAAGTAACTTGGTGGACACCCTGTACATCTTTTTCGTTCGATTTTGCCGATACCACTCCACGGCGTACGAAGATTTAATTAGAGGAGCAGAGGACGGGAAACCTGTGCAATTAGTGACGTTCAGCTCCTCCAGGTTCCTGTTCGTCACCGAGAGCTGCCGCAGGATATCGTCGCACTCCGGCCGCATGGTTATGCTGAACTTCCTTAGATACGGCATCCGTCTCAGCTCCGTCAGCACTTTCTTCGTCGGCTGTTTCTCCCTCGTCACCTGGCCCGCCCGACGAAACAATGCCACCATTAGCTTTTCCATTCGAGTGCAATTTCGGCGATCGACGTGCCGCCCTCTCTTAACCTTCGCGAGCAACTTATAAGTCTACTACATGTGACAAAACAAAAAAAGAAAACGTTGTACGGCAGTGTTTGAAACTAAACCGTGCAAAATTCGCGCTAGGATTTAAATTCAGTCGATTGACGACCGATTGAGGAAATCTTCCACGTCTAATTAAAAATTGCTGCTTAATTTTATTAAGATTTGCAAGAGGTACGAACGAAGAATTAATTGAGGAAGTAATTGATGCCATATATAAGCTTGCCTCGTAATTGTTTTATTATTATATTTATTCGAATTATTATATCATTATATTATTATAATAATATAATATTATATTATATATATTATATATATTATTATATTATTATATTTAATCGAATGAAATACTTTCTTTAATTTTATTAAATTTTTGCGATTTCTGGCGCGGTCGTAGAAGTGTTAATTAATAAATATTGATATTTGAAAACATTGAAAGACTTGGAAAGTAGCCGAGAACGTTACTCTACTAATTACAGCCTCGAATAACGTCGTTAAAGAAAGAAAGAAAATTATGCATGGCTTGTCCGTCTCGCAATCGACGTAGAAATTGTTTATTTCGCGTAAAGATCCGCGCAGTCTAGCGATAATGATAAGACAAAGTGAATTTACGAACCGACCTCGTAAATTCGCCATAGCGACGGGTCGCCGGCGATCCGCATGAAAAAGACGGAGACGCATTTGACGGCCCGCAGATCGTTGTTGTTGAGATAGGAGAGGATCTCCAGGATAATCTCGACCGGCAAGCTTCCGATCCCAGGGGACGGCGACTGCGGCGGCGGCAGGGACGGCGGCGCCGACGGCGCGTCACACTTGTTACCGAATCTGGCATGCTTCCTAATGGGCTCTCGAGTAATCGCAAGCTCGTCCATCCTCGTCGCGTTTCCATTTCCGGCATCGGCACGTGCGGCGCGGCGTTTCGCAGCGTGTTGCGCCGTCTTCTCTCTCACATCGTCGACCGATAACCAATATATTTCTGTTTACCTCGCTCTCTCTCTCTTCCTCTCTCTCACTCACTCTCTTTGTCCCTTGACGTTTTCAAGGTTTTAGGGTTACCACGTTCAACCGACGGGACTGGGAATTTTGACACGTTGCCCGAGTACGTTCGCCCGCGACTTTTGTTTTCACCGGTCGAACGATTTCGTCGAACCCGTTCGTATCTCGCCCTTCTCCCTTCCCCCCCTCAGAATCCATGGCGCAGCCAGGATCGCCACGGATTTTCGAAACTAGTTCCGAAGGATCCGAACGCCCTCTCTGAGCGAGAAGGGACGATCGGGGCCTGCAGCGCTCTCCGAAGGAATCTCGCGGAAGTCGTTAATTGCGCAACGATCGTTGCTCCCGGTGTTCGAGACAATTACGATCGCGAATTAGGCTAGGAGCAAATAGAAATACAGTGCTCCGTGAAAGTGTTTTTTTCTTCTTTTTTTTATTTATTGAATACTATGTACAACAATATGCACGGAAATATGTGCGACAAATTGTGTTACAAGTGAACGTAAAAATTGGCAATAAGTTGTTCCTACACTTGACATAACCTTTTAAAACGGAATTGCTTTTTTCTAGTAATTACTTTTCGCGCGATTACTTTTCGTTTTCTACTTTCTAAACTGAACCGAACGACTTGAATTTTGCTCAGATGAGAGAAGGATCGGTCCATTAAGTGACAAGTAATATATAATAATAATAATAATAATATATATATAATAAGTAATACATATAATAATCTATATTATATGTATTATATTATATATATTATATGTATTACTATATATATTATATTATATTATTATAATAATCTAAAATTATGCCGTTGCTTGCAACGACAACGAAGAAATAAACTCTCGTTTTTTCTAACCTCTTTATAGCATGCATGCAAACGCAAGGAAGTTAATTTGCCCGACAAACGCGTTATATCCTCGAGCAGGCAATTCGGCCTAAAGAGCAGCTATAAGGCAATAAGAAAAATGGCGCGTCGAATCGCAACGCGATTAACGCGATGCAAAACAGAACCGCCTTCTGCGCCGTCTCTGCGTGCGCCAGCCACGAATGTATTCGGTGTTCCTGGCCTCGTTGAAATGCACCGTTAAACTGGCCCCCGATCATCGGTCTCGAGATCTTTGTGTTAATTAATTCCGCGCCCGCGAGACCCGTCATTTTTCCGCAAGCTGTGCAATTTTTCCGCGACCCCTGCAATTTTCCTGCGAGCCCCGCCGTTTTTTTTTCTCGTCTTCTTCCAGACCTCACATTTTTCCAAAGGACTCTGCAACTTATTTGCAAGCTGTGCAATTTTTCCCCGGAAAGGGAAAATGAGTGCAATTTGTGCACGTTGTTCCGCAACCGTTTCGCAGACCCGACGATTTATTGCGAGTAAAAGAACAGTTAGCGGGACTATAATTTAAATTAATAAATTTGATAAACTAAACAAATTTATTATTTGACAAAATAAAGCCACTATTGTTTTCCGTTCGTGTAAAATTGTCAGCTTAAAAGCATAGTTCGAAAGCATTATAAATAAAAAATAAAACCTAATTTTATGTCCAGTTGTTGGACAAAGTTGTAACGGAAAGAATAAGCTTTATTCTCAAGCCTATAGATCGATTAAATTTTTAGGTTATCCCGCTCGCCAATATAAAACAACACAGTATCGAGAAAAACGCGTTCGAAGCATCCGGCAAGGTTATGTCAAGTTGTACTCATAGTTTAAGATTCGACGTAAAAATTTAGTCCGCTATTGCAGGGCAATAGAGTAAACAATTACGTCTGCAACAGATTTACTCAATTTAAGAAATTTATTCAATTTACGCGATAAAAAAGAGAAAATCGATCTTCTCTTCGCCCCCTTAAGAAATACCATTTAAATATGCTAAAGTTGCGTTCAACGGCGAAAACGGCTGAGCTGGTAACAGGGCACGGTAATTGGCCCTATAACATCGTGTACTTTCCGTTTTGGTATGGATCCCTGGGAGCGACCGATTCGACGCGTGATTCATCTTGCGGTCCCGATTGGATCGCGGCCGACCCCCGCAGCATTTCTTCGCGAGCCTCCCCTCGTTTATGGGAACCATGCCGATCACGGAAATCACGATAGTGAGTCACCGCGGTGTGTTGGCCATTCGTAAGCACACTCGGCATTTCCCGTTAACGTCAAAGCCACGGTGCCGACACGAAACAGACATCGAATTCTGCTTTTTTCGGCCAGCACTCACTGCTACCGCCGTCGAGCCGCTGCCGGCGTAACGCTGCGTACGTGCGTATGTGTGCGTGCCTCTAATTGGCACGTGTCGCGCATGCGCGATACAGCGGTCCGCGAATCGGAAACGCGGTGGATGCCGGCGCGGTTGAATAATCGACGAGGCACCGTTCCTAAAACGGGCTGCCCTCGCGTATGATGTATTCGACGACGGATCAATCGGCATCGATCGAACCGTGCCGTTCTAATATTTGCCGGGTCAGCGTGGGCGGCGTGCAGCACGCTGCTGAGCGGCACTTCGCGTCTTCTGCCCGAGCAAGATGCGTTCAATCATTCAGATCGCATTCGAGCAGAAGAAGCGCGCGCGTGGTCGGTGCCGGACCGACGATGCTAATTTCAGAAGAGCGAATGGCGAGTATGACGAATGTTCTTACGATTTCTTTTTAGTCCGCAACGATCGCTTTAATTATAGACGCCGTGGGACCGATACGAAGACCGTCGCCGTTGCACCTTATGCTAATTTTTCTGGACCTGAAAATTCATTTGTACGCTAATTTCCATTATATTTTCCCAATTTGTTTTAGCCACTAAAATAATCACACTAAATATCCTGTACCTTGTAAAAAATCCCTCGAACCTCTCCAAATATCCTGTGCCTTCAAAAAAATTCCTCAAATTTCTCCAAATATCCTGTACCTTGTAAAAAATCCCTCGAACCT